GGAACAGAGAACTACCACGTCCACGTCGTTGTTCCTGGGTAGCGCTAAGAGTAGTTCATCAATGACTTTGATGGTCCATAACTCGGACCCCAGTGGGCGGATTGTGGACCACAACCAGTGTTTCGTAAAGGGCTTGAAACCAGCTTTCTCATCCCATGGTGAAAAACTAGGGGTTCCATTTAAAAAAACCATCGTGACCCCTGAATGACCTTCAAAATGACCTTCCAAGGATTTTTCAAGGTCAGTACCATACTTCCCCCGTGTAACCCTAAACTTTTCATACGAAACATTTTTCTCTATCCCTACTAGTTTTCGAGATATTTGACTGGATCACTTCAGATGGTCCACCTTGTATACAGTATCTGATAATTAACGATAAACTCTCACATAGGGGCAGAATGGACTAAACTGAGTAAAAAAGTTCCCTAACATTTTACATTTGTCGTGAGGTGCGCGTTAGTTCGCCGTCGCTAAGCACGTTAATGCCAATGTCGCTTGTAAACAACGTGTTTATAATGGTCTAGTCTAGCGACTCGAAGAACGTGCATCTCTCTGGACGGTCTTATTTCGCCGCGCGCTTGCATTTGGCGGTAGACGAATTTGCCGGGCACGAATTTGACTATTTTCATAAATTAATATCTCATTAACCATTGCGAAAATTGCAAGATGGTAGGGGACTTTTCGACCCAACTTAGTCCATTCTGCCGCTTTGCGAGAGTTTTATCATTAGTTATCGGGCACCCTGTACGTGTAATGAACGTGTTTCTCAGGGCATCGTTGGGATAGCCGGGACGATTTCAGTTGGTCTGGTGTTTCTGGTCGAACGGCTAGGACCAGTCTTCCAAATAGCTGTAAGTACGCGTGGCATCACCGACGGACCCTCGTTGGGCCTGTTCGTATTAGGAATGCTAGTACCCTGGGCAAACGCGAAAGGTGCGTTATTCGGCGGTTGCGTTGGTCTGATCAGCATGCTTTGGCTGGTAGGAGGCACTCAATGGTACACCATGCATGACAGAATTAAATATGATTCGTTACCCACGTCGGTGGCTGGTTGCCCGTATCCGTTAAATCAGACTTTTTCAATCTATACCACGATAAGGCCTACTTGGATGAACTCTGGTGAAGAACCTATGATACTCTTTCAAATATCCTTCATATATTATATCTTGATAGGAGCGGGAATCGTTGTCATCGTCGGCACTATCGCGAGTTACTTCTTCGGCGTAGATCTCGAGGACGTAGATCCCGATCATATTACACCAATAATGAAAAGGTACGATACCATATTAGATATATATATATATATACCCCATATTAGATATATATTTCCAATTACAACTTTACTTATGTGTGTACGGACGTTATATCAAATTATGATACAATTGTTTGTTTTCCGAGTAATGAGTTAAAAAGAAAAGATAGCTATATATCTTCAATTACAACATACCCATATATTTATTATTAATAAACTCTTATAAATTAAAAATCTGTCTGTATATATAATAATATCATTTTGGAAAACAATAAAATGTAGTATAATTTATAATTACCGAAAGACTCGATGAAACTTGCATGAACAGGAATCATTCGGTCACTAGTGACCTGACCTTGCAGTGTAATGGTTAAATTAAATATTACAGTTACAAATAACGCGTTACTTCTCAACTCTGTATAATATACATACCTGAACAAATTGAAATCGCAAACTGTAATTGTTACGCGTACATAAAATATTCCTAGGAATGGGCATATTCAGGTGTGCAAGAGGGAGGTTTAGGGACTTCAAATCCCCCCTCCCGAAATATTTTATTTATTTTTAATTATAAAGAAATACAATTTTCTTTTTTATTCTGAGTAATTTTTTTATTGTCATATACAATAACTTTTTATGACCATGTAAATAATTTTTCGAATTTCCGTTAGAAATTGTCCTTTAATTGACACTTGACGCACTGTTCAATATACTCGTATAAAGAAAATTTTTGCAAAATTTCTGAACCGGAAAACAGAATATGCGCTGAGATATTAATGAATACTCCATCCATAATACTACATATTTCGTTTTTAATAACTGTATTTTGTCTATATTTTTTTTTTAGGAAAAAAAAGTTATCATTTACAAACCCAATATTTTCTTTCAAAATCAAGAACAGGACGAAGATATTCCAAGCTCTAAAATATATAGAGAAAAAGCAATTCATTAACGCGAAAAATTGCTATATATGACAACACAGAATAAATCGATAAAAATTATTTTCCCGAAAAAATCCTGTATGTGTATGCTCATGCTCCCTAGGCATTATCACGATATTGACGCTTCCTTTGTGTGGTGTAGTAGAGTCAATTCTCTCAATTTAATTCAATTTAATTTTTTAGATTTCTTCCTTCTCGAAAATATGCCGAAATCTCGTTAAGAGAGATACCACCATCGCTCGACATTACGCTGGAAAAAACCTGCAAGTGATCACGATCGCAGTTTTGTGATTATTTATGTCAGTGATAATGCAAGCTAGTATATACGCTCAATTCGAGAAATTTTCCGTAAGTGAACGATATCTTGATTCTAGATTCTAGAAGAATCTCCATCAGTCATACATGTATGTTACCAACGATGTTTCCAACTTCCAAGTCATCTGACCGGTCACGACAACGGACAAAGCAAAAGGGTGCAGTAGGTCTCTTATTGATTAATAGACGCATGCGCCAACTATCCTGCCACACATGGCACACATGCTAGATCGCGGTTGTTTTCAATTTCTCATTGTCTGCAGTATTGTTCCCAACGTCTGTTGCGAGATATCGGTGTTGCGACCGTGACTTGTCTTATATAAATTTTTAACCAGCAAAAAGGACATCAAGAGAAATTGCGAGACACGTGATGATCATATTCTGGAACGGAAGAATTATCGTTAAATTCCGCTCAACATTATGTGAAAGAGCATAGAATTTCAGCTAAGATTGCTATTTTTATAATAAAATTTGTCAATGTTGTTAGAGGACATGATCCAAGTTAACAAATGAAAGATATTGAGAAGAGCGATATAAATGTAAATGTTTAATTACAAACGTACGCTACGCGGCGCGCGATCCAGGGCGATCGAAATCTGCATATCCGTGGACGTTGAAGATCAAGTTACGTCCCTGAAGATGTGTTGATCGGGGTTGCTCGCTCGGGGATGGCCGCGTGTCCTCCGCGCAGTCAGCGCAGATATAGAATGGCCGCGCCTACACGTGGAGCGAGCATCGTGATCGTTGCGCGACTTGCGACGAATACCGAGCGTCTACTTCAATCCGATCACGCAACGTTCAACAAGTACGAGTGCCGATACATCTCGCGGTATCATTGCAGTGCAGATTTAATTCTCACGGTCGTTACAAGCGGATAACATTAACATCGTCGCAAGCAGTACTTATATACCTTCGAATGATGGACCAGATGAATCACCATCAAGAGCGTGATCGACACACGATTGACGTACATGAAAGATTACTACGTGATAAACTAAACAAGTGCTACAACAAGAAAGTTTCATCGTATACGTATCTACAAGATCAGTATCCAAGATCAATACCCAAGATCTAATATCTCGAATCTTTGCATCAGAGCAAGAGATTTCTGACAGACGCCGCGCGGTAGGCTATTATATGGATTCTAATTAACTGCATCTGTGTCTAAATATTCTAAATAAGGACCGGTCACAATTGTCGTCGTATCAAAGGATAGGTAATTCTTATTCTTTTCGTACATTTTGGCCGATTGCAATGTTTGGCACTCAAAACCGAATAATCTAAAACTAAATAATATCACTGTTCACTGTGAATTTACATGCTGGGTCACGTACGATCGTCTACAGAGTCTTACATTTCTACGGTACATATGCATCAAACGTTTCACATAATTTCACTGACGTTTGAAGATTTAGTCACGGTGCAAATGTGATACTACAATTAATATGGTTAATTGTTCGAGGGAAGTCGATGGAGCACAAGAGTTTGGATAGATTTGGCCGATTGAAGGTAAATCTACTTGGAAGAATTTTGAGAAATCTCAGTTGTTGTTTGATTGGCTAATCGTTAAGCAGCAGCAAAACGGGTGGCATGCCGAAGCACAGCCGCGCCTCGCCTTTAATAATAGATAAAAACCTTAGGCATTCGTGCCGGAAAAAGAACAGAAACCGAGAATATCCCCACAGAGAAAAGAGAGAGAGAGAGAGAGAGAGAGAGAGAAATAAAGAAAAAAACGAGTAGTAGCCTTCAGTTTAGCTGATGCTAACGAGAAAAACGCAAGTCAGATATCCGGATGCAGTTATTATCAGTCGTCACTGTCCGTGTCTTTCAGTTTATTTGATCGAATTTTAATTAACTGGACGATATCACCCACTCATGGAAAATAATAGAGACTGTTTATACACATGTCTACAAAAATATCGAAATAAATATCTCTATTATCGATGCATTAACGAAGAAAGATGATTGATCGTTTCTCTCTCTCTCTCTCTCTCTCTCTCTCTCTCTCTCTCTCCTTCT